CAGAGTTCTAGCAGTGCATAGAGACAGGAGGCTAGCTTCATTGGGTTGCAGAACAGTGTCATCAGGGCCCTGAATCTTCAGAAAGATTCTGATAAAAAAACATGCAGTGGACTGGGGGAGTGTAGCTCTGCAGAGCGCTTGCCTAGCACAGACAAGGCCCTGGGTTTGATTCCCTGAACTGCAAAAAAAAGAAAAGAAAAGGAGGCATCAGGTTCTTCCAGGCAAGAGAATTGGGTGGGAATGGGGGAAAGGGCCTTTTGGTGGAGGGAGCAGTATGCTTGAGCAGAGGTACAGAGGATTGGAAGTGTGTGGTGTGTTCAGGAGTCCATAGGTATGCAACCTGGGGAGATCAAGTGATAGTGACTCCTGCCCCAAGTTAATATTATTATTAATTTTTTTTCCGGTACTGATGTTTGAAGTCAGGGCCGCACATTTGCTAGGCAGGCTCTCCCTATCCTTTGAGCCACTTGGCAGCCCTTTTTTTGTGTGTGTTGGGTATTTTTGAGATAGGGTCTCACTCTCATTTTGCCTGGACTGGCCTCAAACTGTGATCCTCCTGATCTCTGCCTCATGAATACCTGGGATTACAGCCCAAATTATATTACAGCCACTGGTGCCCAGCCCAAATTATTTTCTCTTTGTACCATAAACACGAGTTACTGTGTGCCAGATAGATGCTGCTGTATGGGATGATGACGACTGCATTTGTGCAGAATTAGGAATGGAACCCAGGGCCTTGCACTTGTGCTCTACTGCTTGGGCCATGCCCCCAGACCTTTTGTTTTTGAGCTAGAGTCTTGCTAACTTTTCCTGGGGCCAGCCTGGAACGTGGGGCCAGCCTGGAACCTGGGTCCCTCTGCCTCCGCTTCCTGAGTAGCTGAGATTACAGGCACATACCACCACAGCTGTGTGGAATTATTCTTTAGTAGCTATTAATAGTTACTTGGATTTCAAGAATCTTTTGGTTGGCCTTAGTTCAGTTACACATCTTTTATTTTTTTGGTTAAAAGTACAATAAAAGCATGATTATATATGACAAGTTAACAAGTAACATTGGGAATTACTTAGGAAGGTTTATGTTCTATGGTTTTCATACCAATTTTCTTAAAAACTGTGCTTTTCTTCTGTCTTTAGCTTACTACCATAGTTTGAGTCTAAAGCTTTTGCTGTACCACTTGTTAATTTTGAATAAAACAGCTGTTAAGATTTCAAGGAATGACCTGGTCTTCAAGCGAAGACTATTCACAGTGGGATGGTTGTACCCACATGAGGCAGAACATAAAGGACCGGCTAAAAGAGTAATACCGGTCTTTTGGTGAATTTTTTTTCTCATGGCACTGTTGTCACTGGAAATGCTATCTTGATTATTTCGTATAGTTGCTGAGGCAGATTTTTTTTTTTCCTCCAGTTCTGGAGATTGAGCCCAGAGTTTCTCTCCTGCTAGGCAACCACTCTACTACTAAAGCCATATCCCTAGCCCAAGCTGAGGCAGGTTTAAAGCTGTACTCTTGAATTTCACTTTTTACTTGGTCACTGAGACACCGGCTCAGTGTTTCATGACTCATATTTAGAGAGAGAGCTGACTAGGAGAAGGTACAGACAATTATTTTGTGTGTGTTTCTCAAGTTTTAATTGACTAATTTATGCTTTGCCTATTTTCTAAAACAAATTTGAGGTGTCTTAAAAATAAATACAATTAAAAAAATAAGATAAGGGGAGAGGGCTGGGATGTAACTTAGTGGTAGACTACTTGCTTAGTGTATGTGATATCCTGAGTTTTTGTTTTTTATTTTTTTTCTTTTATTATTCATATGTGCATACAAGGCTTCGGTCATTTCTCCCCCCTGCCCCCACCCCCTCCCTTACCACCCACTCCGCCCCCTCTCTCTCCCCCCCACCCCTTCGATACCCAGCAGAAACTATTTTGCCCTTATTTCTAATTTTGTTGTAGAGAGAGTATAAGCAATAATAGGAAGGAACAAGGCTTTTTGCTGGTTGAGATAAGGATAGCTATACAGGGCATTGACTCACATTGATTTCCTGTGCATGTGTGTTACCTTCTAGGTTAATTCTTTTTGATCTAACCTTTTCTCTAGTTCCTGGTCCCCTTTTCCTATTGGCCTCAGTTGCTTTAAGGTATCTGCTTTAGTTTCTCTGCGTTAAGGGCAACAAATGCTAGCTAATTTTTTAGGTGTCTTACCTATCCTCACCCCTCCCTTGTGTGCTCTCGCTTTTATCATGTGCTCAAAGTCCAATCCCCTTGTTGTGTTTGCCCTTGATCTAATGTCCACATATGAGGGAGAACATACGATTTTTGGTCTTTGGGCAAGGTTAACCTCACTCAGAATGATGTTCTCCAATTCCATCCATTTACCAGCAAATGGTAACATTTCGTTCTTCTTCATGGCTGCATAAAATTCCATTGTGTATAGATACCACATTTTCTTAATCCATTCGTCAGTGGTGGGGCATCTTGGCTGTTTCCATAACTTGGCTATTGTGAATAGTGCTGCAATAAACATGGTGTGCAGGTGCCTCTGGAGTAACCTGTGTCACAGTCTTTTGGGTATATCCCCAAGAGTGGTATTGCTGGATCAAATGGTAGATCAATGTTTAGCTTTTTAAGTAGCCTCCAAATTTTTTTCCAGAGTGGTTGTACTAGTTACATTCCCACCAACAGTGTAAGAGGGTTCCTTTTTCCCCGCATCCTCGCCAACACCTGTTGTTGGTGGTGTTGCTATGATGGCTATTCTAACAGGGGTGAGGTGGAATCTTAGTGTGGTTTTAATTTGCATTTCCTTTATTGCTAGAGATGGTGAGCATTTTTTCATGTGTTTTTTGTCCATTTGAATTTCTTCTTTTGAGAAAGTTCTGTTTAGTTCACTTACCCATTTCTTTATTGGTTCATTAGTTTTGGGAGAATTTAGTTTTTTAAGTTCCCTATATATTCTGGTTATCAGTCCTTTGTCTGATGGGTAGCTGGCAACTATTTTCTCCCACTCTGTGGGTGTTCTCTTCAGTTTAGAGACCATTTCTTTTGATGAACAGAAGCTTTTTAGTTTTATGAGGTCCTATTTATCTATGTTATCTCTTAGTTGCTGTGCTGCTGGGGTTTTGTTGAGAAAGTTCTTACCTATACTTACTAACTCCAGAGTATTTCTTAGTCTTTCTTGTATCAACTTTAGAGTTTGTGGTCTGATATTAAGATCCTTGATCCATTTTGAGTTAATATTGATATAGGGTGATATACATGGATCTAGTTTCAGTTTTTTGCAGACTGCTAACCAGTTTTCCCAGCAGTTTTTGTTGAAGAGGCTGCTATTTCTCCATCATATATTTTTAGCTCCTTTGTCAAAGACAAGTTGGTTATAGTTGTGTGGCTTCATATCTGGGTCCTCTATTCTGTTCCACTGGTCTTCATGTCTGTTTTTGTGCCAGTACCATGCTGTTTTTATTGTTATTGCTTTGTAATAGAGTTTGAAGTCAGGTATGGTGATACCTCCAGCATTGTTCTTTTGACTGAGTACTGCCTTGGCTATTCGTGGCCTCTTGTGTTTCCATATAAATTTCACGGTAGATTTTTCAATCTCTTTAATGAATGTCATTGGAATTTTGATGGGAATTGCATTAGACATGTAGATTACTTTTGGGAGTATCGACATTTTTACTATGTTGATTCTACCAGTCCATGAGCATGGGAGATCTCTCCACTTTGTATAGTCATCCTCAATCTCTTTTTTCAGAAGTTTATAGTTTTCCTTGTAGAGGTCGTTCACATCTTTTGTTAGGTTTACACCTAGGTTGTCCTGAGTTTTGACTCCCAGCATCCCTCTCCCCCCAAAAAAAGAGATGAAGGAGGAAGTTGGGATAAGGGAAAAGCCAGATAGAAAAAAATGAAAAACCTAGGATTCATACTGATGTTAAACACTGGTTGTAAATTTGACTCTAGACTTCGAAGTCCCAGACAGAGAGGAAAATATATGACTTGTAATTTCTGTTGTCTTTCCATAAGACACAAACACACCCTGTGTCATTCAAGAAGCCATGGTGCTGGAGCCCATGGAGGGAAGTGTCCCTGGCCTGAAGAAGAAGGGGACCTATGTAGACTTTCTTTCATAGCTCTGAGCCAGTTCCGTGTCTGGCTTGATCCAAGGATATGAAGTGTAGGGTTCTGAGATTCCAGATAAGAGCAGAGGAGACCAATCTTGTGGCCAGCATCGTCTACAGCAGTCCAACATGCCAGTTTTTCTCCTAATATTAGAACAGATTGCTATTTGTTTAGGGGACACATGGAATAAGGAAGTTGTCTTGCATTTAGATGCTACGTTGCACAAAAAATTTATGTTCAGAGCTCTGAAATGATAGCGTGCAGGCGTGCTCTGGGCACGAGAGGCATTGTGGGGACCGAGGTGCCCAGTGGTGCGGCTTTCTTCCCTGCATACGTTCTCAGCGGGAGAGCTGCCATGTTTCACACCTTGCCTTCCCACGTGTGGTTGAATGCTGAGAAGTTCCATGCAGAATTTGCCAGCTTCCCTGAGTGGAGGGAGTGGTCAGCATATTTGTCCTTCAGGCAGCCGTTAAGGAATGTTGTTTGCCAGAACTGAACTAGATACATAGTGGGTGATAGCAGATCTCTGAGCATGTCATGAGGGTGGAAGTACTGGGGTCAGAGAGCGTCAGTCAGAAAAGTGGCTCTGCCAGCCATTGGCTGAGTGATGAGGGCAAGTTACTCCACCATCTGAGTTCGTCATTTTCCTTATTGGTAAGATGGAGAGGACAGAGTTGGGCTCAAGGTTATTGTGAAGGTTAATGAGTAAGAGGATATGTAAAGGGCATGTAGTAGACATGCCATCTATGCAGCTCATGTCTTCTGTGTTGTAATTAGGAACTAGATCACACAGCCCAACCCACTTCCCTACAGTAGGTTTTCTGAACAGGACAGTTGGAAATTAGAATCTTTTTTTTTTTGTCTGGTTTGTAACAACAATATCTTTTTCTAGAGAGACAGCACCCAGAACCATCTTCCAGAGAGTCCTGGACATCTTGAAGAAATCTTCTCATGCTGTTGAGCTGGCCTGCAGGGACCCATCCCAAGTGGAGCATCTGACTTCCAGTCTGCAGTTAATAACGGAGTGCTTCAGGTGTCTGCGGAATGCTTGCATAGAGTGTCCTGTGAACCAGAATTCAATCAGGTAGTACTCTGGAGTGGCACATATTCCTCTCTTTGAGTGTGTTTCTCTGTATTTGTATGTGCTGGCTCTGTCATACTGCTGTGTCAGTTAGGACTTGTTTTGGCTTTATATATCACCCATTGTTTTTACAGGACTTCCTTCACTTCCAGTAAAGTCCTCTCTTTGGAGTCACTGAGGCCAGATATGGTGGTACTGCATGTAACAGAGTATGTTTGACTCTAGGGGTTATCCAGATATTTTACTTGTGTTTATAACATGCTTTGAGGTATTCGTTTCTATAAAAAACAGTGTTTTGACTGGGGATGTGACTCTAGTGTTTGAGTGCCTGCCTAGCAAGTGTAAGACCCTGTATTCAAACCCCAGTACCATCAAAAATAAGCAAATAAACAACAGAAAACCCAAAACAGTGATTTGAACTTGATTTTGATTCTTTGTTCTTAGATTCTGCCTGCCTAAGTTCGTATGCAGTTCTTGACTTCACTTCTAGTTGTAAATATTTTAATTACTTTTTTTTTTGGTGGGACTGGTATTTGAACTCAGGGCTTTGTTGCTTGTGAAGCAGGTGCTCTACTACTTGAGCCACATCTCTAGACCATTTCGTTGTGGTTATTTTGGAAATGGGGATTTACCAAGTATTTCTCTGAGCTGGCCTTGAACCTTGATCCTCTTGACCTCATCCTCCCAAGTAGCTAGGATTATATGCATGAGCCACTGATGCCCAGGTTAATTATTTTTAATGAGCTACCTTGTGTTTTTATAAATTTCTAAAATGATCTGTCTTTCTTTATGATTGTAAAGCTTGGAGCTGTGTTTATTTCCATCTGCTTTATAATGTGCATATTTTTAGTAGAGTTAAATAACGAGCAAGAAGAATTCCCATGCTATTCTTTTCGTGTACACCTTTCTACTCTTAGAACTGAGCATCTTTCCTCTTTGATTTTATGGAATCTGCTTTTTATTAAAAATTTTTACTTGAAATGAAGTCAGAAGCCATAAGCAGGGTGCTCACCTTTCTTTCATGGACTTGTATGTAGATAGAGCCTCCAGGCTTCCCTGTCACTGCTGTGATGGCTGAAGTTAGGCTGGTCCAGAAGCCACTTGAAGGACTTCCTGGGTTGCTTAGACAGTCTTTTACCTGAGGCTTTCATATGATTAATGAGATTTTTAAGATCAAAGAGAAGGAAAGAAAGCTGAAGTTGTTTAACTTTAATGCTAAAATAAACCTGCCATCCATTTGCAAAAAAATGGGTAGAAACATTGGTAATCTTGCTAATAATGGTTTAAAACCTAACTAGTTATGTGTGAGAAGCATCTGGCTGCAAGGCTAGTTTCAGTTGTCCTTTTCTAGGTAGGGAATCACTCTGATGTGGTAGGTAGGAAGAGGGGACTTAGGCTGGGGACTAGAAAAGGAGTCTTTCTGCTGGCCAGCCTCAGTGGGGAAGGAAGTGAATGCCAGCACCAGGTGTGCTCAGGTGCTTTACTTGCAGTGTCTTGTTTTAATCCTTGGAATAAACTGAAGAAATAGTGTGCTACTATTTTTCCTTTTTTTTTTTTTTTTTTTGTTGGTACTGGGGTTTGAACTCGGCCTCTTGCACTTGCTATGCAGGTGCTCTACCGATTGAGCCACACCTCCAGTTATTTTTCCATTTTTACAAAAGAAACTGACTCAGGTTAAATAACTTGTCCTAAAACCACTTCTTGAATATGTGAGGGAGACTGTGGATGGTCTCTCCAGCTCCAAACCTGTGACCCTAATGCTAATGCTGAAAGCAGGTGGTGTGCCTTTCCTGAGCCCTGTACCTGGTCCTGTTGCCTGGGACTGCTCCATCCCTTATGTAGTCACCTAACTTGGAAGAGGGATGAAGTTCTAAGTATTAATTTTCTCCTTTTTGCATTGGGGTAAGTAGCATCTTCCCCTTGATCTGGCTTGGATGGGTAGCTGACATTACTTAGTAAAATGCTTCTGGGTGCTTGTGCACCCTGGATGGTGAGTAAGAAGTGTGTTGGCCTCTTCTTCAGGTATGACCTTATAGGGTAAGCTGATGATGATTACATACTTTTAAAGCAATTGGCTTATATTTTATCTGCTGAGTATATGACAACTGCAAAAAATCAAACATTACGAAAATAAATATTGTAGCATAAAATATCAGCAGTCTTTTGGCATGGTATTAAAATAAGGATGGTGTGTGGTGACTGATAACTATTTCATGCAATTTATGGTTGGTAGACATGAAAATGAACATTTAAGGCATTAGTTTTTCTTCCTCTTAATTCTAGGATTGTATTATTGTTTACTGTTTATTTTTGAAGGGAAATTCCATCCATTTAGGGCATTAGCTCTTGGAAAAAATTTTTTAGTGAGAAATACAATGGAAATTCCAGGAAGGACTTTGTAGCCAACTTTAACTAAAGCTGGTCAGGATTTAGATTTTTAAGTTATTAAAGAGTTAGTCAGAAGGTGTGATGCCAGTGAGACCTAGATCCTTTTGTATAGAATGGGATGTAACGGAGCAAAGCAAATATCTGAGTCATGTACATTTCAGAAGCTGTTTAAGGAAAACCATTCAAAGCAGTCTGCTCTGCATGTAAACATAAGCCCCGTTGCTGGGGTCTCTACTGTTACTGTAAAGCGTCAGCTAATACTGTTCGGCTTTGGGGTCTCTGTCAGAGTTCTTGACTTTCCCATTGTAGTGTGACAGCAGCTATACCGTATGTGAATGAATGAGAATAACCATATTCTATTTTTAAACACTTAAATTTGAGTTTCATAAAATTATCATCTCATAAAATTGTATTCTTTTGGGTTTTTTCCCCTAAATATTTATAAAAACAAATACATCTGGGCTAGAGGCATGCTCAAATGGTAAAGTGCCTATCTAGCAAGTGCAAGGCCCTGAATTCAAACCCAAGTAGTGCCAAAGGAAAGAAAGCAAAAACCACTCCTAGTGCACACTGGCTATACAGAGATGGATAGTGGCTTGTTAGCCAAGCAACCTTTTGTCTACATAGACAGGAAAAATCAGAATCAGAAAGAATGGAACAGCTTCTTTTCCGGTTGGCAGGTGTTGAGCTCTTTCCCACTGTCCGCTGCCTGGATGAAGAGGCCAGGAGCAGCAGCTGTGACTATCTGGCCTGGGCAGGAGGTGCGACAAGAGTGCTTTCACCACATTTATGCTGACCCTGACCATCTGAAAGCTCCTTCCATTAAAACAGGCTTAATATGGGGTTCTGGGATTTGATCTGTGCAAATAGGGATCCTTCTATTTAAGAGTAAATTTTGAGGCTTAATTTTGATTAGTATTGAAGAAGTTAGGGAGCTATATTAATTTTCTGTTGCTTCTGTAACATATTACCACAAACTTAGGGTTCAGAATGATAGTTTTATCTTACAGTTCTGGAGGTCCTAAATTTACAGTCACTCCCACCGGCCTGAAGTCAAAGCCTCTGCAGGACTTTCTTTCTGGTGGCTCCTTCCTGCTTATAGAGGTTTCTGCTTTTCTCAGCTCACAGCCCCTTCCTCCATTTTAAAAGCAACAGCATACCATCTAACAGTGTCTCTCTGACTCTGACTCTCCTGTGTTCCTCTCATGAGGACCCTTATTAGTAGACTAGGCCTACCTGGACAACTCAGGATTATCTCGCTATCTCAAAAATCATTAGAGGCTCTAAAGAGTTTCTTGTGTTTGCTGACATCAATTCTGATTCTTTGATCTAACTGGGTGTCACTTCCATTCTGACACTGTGTGAGATTTAAGCAATATTGGACCCCATAGCTTAGAGGCTCAAGCCAGGAAGACTGTTCCCATGTGAGGTATCCAGGCCACTCACATTTCTGTGCAGCTGACTATAAATGGAGGGTTTCCATGACTTCCCTCAGGTTTGATATTCCATGGACTCACAGGACTCAAAAAAAGCAGTTTACCTACTGCCACTGGTTCATACACACTGTGGGACCATCCAGGAGGAAGATAGGCAGGTGATAAGGTATGGGATGGGTACAGTTTCCATGCCCTTTCTGAGTACTCCATTTTCCTGACAGTTGATGTGTTCCTCAACTTCCAGGCTCCCAAACACCATTGTTTAGGTATTTTTATGGAGTTTCATTATGCTGGAATGGTTAACTATATCACTGGGCAATGGTAATTCACTCTCTCTGCTCCCCTGAACTGGAGGTAGGGCTGAAAGTCACCCTCTCATTACATGGTCTGAGCCTCTGACAGCCAGCCATCATTCTGAAGCTACATCTAAGTTACCTCAATAGCATAAACTCAGATTTGATTAAAGGGGCTAGTTGTGAATAACAAAAGATGCTCTGGGTTTATAGGAGATTTATAGGGTTTATAGGAGTTCTGTACCAGGAACACAAGACCTAGACCAAATACAGATTTCTGATTATACTACCTCTTGCCACATAAAGTAACCTTCACAGATTCAGGATTTAAGTTCTTTTGCCTACTATTGGCCCCTAAACATTCACACCTATCACACATTCAGAATATGTTTGTCTTAGCCCAAGGTCTCCCAGGTTCTTGAACCATTCTAGCATCAGTTTATGTTCAGAAAGTTTCATCAGCTAAAAAGTTCCAAACCTAATTATCCGAGTTATCTAAGTCACATGAGATGCTGGATGTGACCCATTCTGGGACAAAAGTCCTCTTCATCTGGTACGTGTGAAAGTAGAAAACAAGTGTCTGCTTCTAGAGTGCTGTAGTGTTAAGGTAACTGCAAGAAGCAGCAGTTTCAGGTATCCCCTTCTCTTTTTTCCACGCCATTGTAGGATGCTGTCCAGGGACTCTTGCCACTGTGTAGCAAGGCTCATCTTTCCTCCAGACTCCAGCAACATGTTCTCATTTCCTTCTCAGGCACTACCAGCAGTGTCTTTACTGTCGTTTTCTACCTGTAGTCTGTTCAGAGCACTGTGTACTTTTTCTGTCATGCTTCTCAGAATTTTTCCAGCCTCTTCCCATTGCCAGATGCCAAAGCCTCTATCACCAAAGCACCTCACTTCTTCTCCCCAAATCTGTATCACTTTCCTTTTGCTACTGTAACAAATTGCTAAAAACTTAGTGGTTCTGAACAACATGCATTTGTTGTCTTGCAGTTCTGGCATTTAGAAGTCACAAGGACTGACATAGCTGCCTCTTTTCTGGAGGACATAAGGGAGAGTCAGTTGCCAGCACTGTGGTATTCCTTGGCCCACTTCTTCCTGGCTTTGACTCTTCGGTGTTCCTTGTATGAGGATTCTTGTGATTACATTGATCCTCCACCTAATCTGGGATAACCTTCCATCTCAAAATCCTTAATTTGGTCTTGTCTATAAAGTCCTCTTTGCCACATAAGGTAAGAGTCACAGATTTTGTGAATCAGGACATGGACGTCTCTGGAGGTTGTTAAATTCTGCCCACCAGAGGAACTGTTAACCAGTAGTCTGAGCATCATGCATTAAATTATCATTTGAAATGCAGCTTTAGGAAACAACATGTTTAATTTTGTCTTTTTAAACCTGATACAGGAACCTGGATACAATTGGTGTTGCTGTTGATTTGATTCTTCTGTTTCGTGAACTGCGAGTGGAGCAGGACTCTCTGTTGACAGGTAAATGTGAAATATAATTCGGATTATTTATATCTTGGAAAAGGATTGAAGATCAATGCTCTGAGTGTTACTTCATTCATTGAATCATATTTTCTATATTTGTGAGGTAGGACAGTTTGACAATACAATACTAAAGATTTATAAAAGGAAAGTTGCAGTGACTTCCTTTCCTTTTGCAGCTGAATTGTTTTTTCCCCAACTTCTTAGTCTGGATAATTAATAACAATATTCGTTTATCGCTCACAGTTGTGGAGGCTGCAAAGTCCAGGGTCAGGGGACCAGTAGATTTAGTGTCTGGTGGGGCCTGCTCTCTGCCTCTGGCTGTGTCCACATATGATGAAAGGCAAAATGGTGAAGGAACTCCTTCTGACCTCTCATACAGGCACTAACCCCATGACCTAGTCACCTCCCAAACCCCACCTGCTACAACAAACACATCGGGGATCTTACTTCCGCCTAAAGACCTTAGAGGGACACAAACATTCAGACCACAGCACAGGCCTAATCTCCAGCACCCAGCATGTGGCTGGCTATGTTCTGAGGTGCTTTTTAAAGTGGTCATTAAAGTGAAATGAGGAAATTTGATGGCTTTCTTATAAGCAGAAGATATTAGGGCATAGATAAGCAAAACAGCCACTGAACACACAGAGAGAAGATAGCCATCTAATGCCAAGAATAGAGATTTCAGAAGAAATCAGCCCTACCATACCTTGATCATGGGCTTCCAGACTGTAGAACTGAAAAAATAAATGTCTATATTTGAAGCTGTCCACTTTTTGTTACGGCAACCTGAGCTAACAAATGCTCTGTCTTCTATTTATGGTTGTGACAGGTCCTATTTTAGGTTTTGGATGTGATTTCAACAGTGACCAAAGCAGACAAAAATCTTCCTTCAGGAGCTCACATTCCAGTGAGGGGAGCCACATATTAAATCTATTAAATAAGTCAAATACCTTATGCGACAGAAAGGGAAGTTAGCTCTGATTGTTAATTGTTGTTGATATGGGATTAAGAGCAACACCAGCTTTTTTCTTGGCTTGAAGAGCTGGAAGATTTTTTTTAGAGTATTTTGACATGCTTGGGTTTTTTTTTTTTGCTACGAGCATCAACATGCCTTCTTTTCACAAGGATTATTATCATAATATTAAAAACAATTTTCATGTATGTAAAGGAATGTCTAAAGAATTAATGAATTTTATGGTAAACCTTTGTTATTTGATAATTTTTTTTTTTTTGGCAGTATGGGGGTTTGAACTCAGGACCTCATGCTTGGTAGGCAGGACCTTTTACCACTTGTGCCACTTTGCCAGCCCTTTTTTGTGTTGGGTATTTTTGGGATAGGGTCTCAAACTATTTGCCTGGACTGACTTTGAACACGATCCTCCTGATCTCTGCCTCCTGGGTAGGATTACAGGCGTGAGACAGTGGTACCTGGCTATTTGATAAGCTCTTAATGTTGCAAATATCTAGGCTTACCTGGGCACTGGTGGCTCACGCCTGTAATCCTAGCTAGTTGGGAGGCTGAGATCAGGAGGATCACAGTTTGAGGCCAGCCCCAAGAAATAGTTGACGAGACATCCATCTCCAAAATAACCAGAGCAAAACATACTTGGAGGTGTGGCTCAAGCTGGGAGTACCTGCTTTGCAAGTGCAAAGCCCTGAGTTCAAACCCCTGTTCCACTCCCCCAAAATCTAGGCTTATAAATAAATTAGATGTTCTAGATTATAGATGAGAGATTTTGTTATTATAATGTCTTCACCTTATAAAATTATAAAATGAGTACTTTTTTTTTTGGTGATACTGGAGTTTGAACTCAAGACTTCACACTTGCTATGCAGGTACTCTTAACACTCACTGTGCCAGATCTCTTTTGTCTTGGGTATTTTTTAGATAAGATCTTGTGAACTATTTGTTTGGGCTGGCTTTGAACTCAATTCTCCTGATCTCTTCTTCCCAAGTAGCTAGGATTACAGGTGTGACTCACTGGTGCCCATCTGGATATTTTAAATGGGAAGTCTAGCTGTATTTCAGATATGATTTGACTTATAAATTAATATTCATATAGTTCTTAGTCCCTGTTAATATATTACATGGGACCTGCCTACATTAATAGGCATGCTATTCTTAGTAAGTGGGTGAAAACTAGAGGTTAGAATGTTTTTACAGGCGTCAGAATTGAAGAACAGTCTAAATCAGTGTGGTAGAGGTGCTGCCTGGCATGGTTTAATTCTTACTCTGTTCTATGATTTCCTCGTGTTTTTGTTTCAAATTCAACTTGCTTTATGTTTTGGTTTAGAAATCATCCTTTGGGAAATGGTGATTTTAAAAAATTAACTACATTATCTGTACAATGTGTTTGATCTTGTTTTTGTGAGTGGCAGTAGTTTTTTTAAGTATTCTTAAGAATTGATAGGCCATGGAGTTTCACCGTAAAGTGTTTTTGAAGGTGTTTTTTGTAGTTCCATTAGATAATAAAACAGAAGCCTTATTACTCAAAATTAGGGCATTAAACATCAGCAATAAAAGCACATGTTGCAGTATGTTATAAAGGCAGTTGTTTTCAAAGTCTCTGAGGTACATTGGTGCAGAAGAAAGTTCAGAATGTACTCCATTTCTCAAGTGCTGAGAAATACTGATGTGGTGGGTAGAGTGTCCCTGGCAGAGCTGAAGTGCTGTGGTGGGCAGAAGTAGGGTTTCTTTTAATGATGTGTCCTAAATAAAGAAGCTCAGTGGAAGTGCTGTGCAGATGTTGTGACTACACAGCTAGTAGAGCACAGCCAGCCCTGCTCTTAGGTGTTAGATCTCAGCCCCATTCATCCACTCATCTTTTCTCTGCAATTATTCCCTTGTTTTCAGCATCAGTCTCATCAGCACGTAATGTGTTCTGCTTTCTGTCATAAAAATGTCCCATGACTCCATATCCTTCCTTTCTCTGTGCTATCCCAAATCTCCAGTGAAAGAGTTATTTCATTTTTGTTACTTACGGTAAACATCGATTTTATCTTTTCTTCATGGGTTTAGTTTTTATTGAAGCAGGTATATAAATAATTTTATGTATTATATAATTATATAATTACTTATATATAGAAAAATTTAAAAGCACAGAAGGTGCTCCTGGTTGATCGGTGTCAGAGAGAGTAGGTTCTTACAGACCTGATGGATTGAGTTGTTCATAATTTAGATAGTTGCAGTTGTATCAGGTTAATTGATTTCCTTATTTTTATTGATGTGAAATTTATGTAACGTTAAAATTACCCATTTTAAAGTGACATTTAGTACATTTACATTATTGTGCAACCACCAGTTCTACCTGATGAAAAATATTTTCTTACTCCTAAAGGAAGCTGTTTTCAGTAAGCCACACTCCATTTTCCTTTCTGTAGCCTCTGACGACCACAATTCTGTCTTCTGTTGCTAATGATTTAACCTGTTCTAAATATTTTATATAGATGTAATCAATTATGTAGCTCTTTGTCTGGCTTCTTTCACTTAGTATAATGTTTTCCAGGTTCATCTCCATTGTAGCATGCATCAGAACTTTGTTCCTTTTTGGCTGAATAATATTCTGTTGTAAGGATATATCACATTTTCTTTGTCCATATATCAGTTGGTGGACATTTGGGTTTCTGCCTGTTGGCTGTCATGAACAGTGCTGGTATGTGTACATGTATTTGAGTGTTAGTGTCCAATTCTTTTCAGTTATACCTAGGACTGGAATTACTGAGTCCTGATAATTATGTTTTAATATTTTGAGGAGCCACTGAATACTTTTCCAAAGCAACTGAGTATTTTAGTTTCACCCACTGTACGAATGTTCTAATTTCTCCAAAGCCTTGCTGACAAATTTCTTTTTTGGATTGTAATCATCTTGGTGCGTGTGAATTGATTTTTATTTGCATTTCCCAAATAACCAATGATGTTGAAACATTTCTCATATCTATTGGCTGTTTGTAAATCTTCTTTGGAGACATTTGCCCAGTTTCAGTTGCGTTTTTTATCATTGAGTTGTAAGAGTCATGTGTATTCTGTGGATACTTTATACTATATTGTTGAATCTATTGGTCAATTTTGGGAGAATTGCCATCTTAACAATACTGAGTCTTCATTAAGATGCTCCATGAAATTGGAGCATCTTCCACTTACTTAGGTTGTTTTTAAACTTTTCAGTTGTATTAGTTTTAAGTAGCTGACCCATGTTCAGTGGCAAAATTGGAAGGGGTAAGAAGGAAAATGAAAGGTAAAGATACATCTCACCACCTTCTTTAAAAAGTCAGATGGTGAAACCACTGATTTTTATTTGGAATTCAATAGTGAAACTTGGGTTCAATAAGAAACTTAAAAATGTTTTATTGTGTTTCATTTCAAACCTAATACAAACTCTTGTCAAAAGTATTCTGGTGTCTATGAAGTGCTAGGCTATCTTTAATATTTTGTCTGTGAAAACCTTATTTTAGGGAGATTTTACCAGGGTAACATTGCCAGTTTTTTGTTACCACTCTTGAAGTAAGAACTGTAATTATATTGTCAAAATAATATTTAGAGTACTCTTTTCAGGGAATAATTGCAGTGGTATGACAAATATATTATGCTCATCAGATTTTATGTGCACACAGCCTGAGCTATTTGACTGGAATTGTCAATGTTGTTTTTGGCCTCCATTCCTCCCTAATCTGTAAAAATAATGTTGGGAGTTTTGGAGGCTTTGTGACATTTGTCATACTTACATAAAGATCAGTTGATAAGCTGTTCTCTCTCTTCTTTGGAGTTGTCTTTTCCTCTGCGAGGACATCTGAAAGCCTTTGCGTTTCCGTAGTGGTGTTCTGATTCACAGTGCTTGTTTCTATTTGCCTGCTGAACTGTTGGGTCAGTGAGCTTTTCAGACAAGCTTACACTGTTAGCTTTTTTTGGGTATAAAATTTTGCACATATTTGAGTGTTACTATTATAAAGTATTCAGTAGAAGTATAAGTATCTTTAAAATTATGGCTTACCTGGAAAAC